ATCTATCTTGTCCCTCCCTCCCACCCCCTGCTTTATTGTGTTGTAGTTTATTTTCAGTTTTGATATTTTTTGATCTAGTATTTATTATTTATTCTTCATTTGTATAGTCATTTGTTATTTGTCATTGTATAGTCATTTGTTATGTGTTATTCTTCATTGGTATAGTCAGGAGGAAAGTCAGCCTAATACTAACCCTCCTGAATCTGGGGAAAGACCATGGCTGTGTTTACACATGTTGTAAAGGTAGAGCTCCATACAAGTCCAGCCAGAGGGTGAACAGAAATGGGATACTGGTTGAAAAATCAACAGCATTTGAAGAGGCACAGATTCTAGTTTAAAGTGAGCTCAAAACACTTTTCCTAACCAGTCTTCCTTCTGCAATTTGGGAGGAGAAATTACCAAGCATTCCCTTTCACTTTCACATAACTGTGTGCCGTGCCATTTCAGTCAACAACCTGGTTAGGTTTCCTTATAAGCAGTTTCTGAGTGTGCTTTCTGAAGCTGGCTTCCTAGAACTACCCATAGTTAGTACTGACTACCTTTGCTGATCTGTTCGCTTGGCAGACAGTATGTCTAAAGAGGTATAACAAAGAAAGGCAGAAGGAGAGGACCACACAAATGTAGCATGATCTTTAACCGGATACAGCTTATCAAGAAAAATGATAGTAAGAGTTTCCAAATGCCTCTTAGGGAAGGCTAGAGGACAGAAGGGAGGATGTGACCCAAGGCTTATTCATGGTGATCTTCTTTTTGCTAACTATTGTTTAAGATCATAGAAGCAAAGAATGATTCTATGGGCCACCAGGTCCTACCCCTTGCTCAGCACAGGAATCCAATTTAAAGTAGACCTAGCCTTTACCTGAACACACTGAATGAAGGGGAACCCAGCACCATTCTTGTTAATTGGTTTCACTGTCAATGGCTGTTACTGTTAGGAAGGCTTTTTTCTAACATTCAGTAGGACTCTGCCTTCTTATAACTTAAATCCATTATTCTTTGTCCTGGGTTCTAGAAATAGAAGGAACAGGTCTTGACTAACTTCCTTTCAGGTATTTGAAGACTGCTATCATATCCTGGTGTCTCCTCAGCTTTTTTAAAAGGCTAAACATATTCACCTGCTTCAGTCTCTCTTCATAGGACTTAGTTTCTAGTCCCCTGATTATTCTAATTGCCCTTCTCTGAACCAGGTCCAGTTGCTGTGAATCCTTCTTAAAACGTAGTGCCCAGAACAGAACATAGTACTTGAGATGGGGCCAGCCCAAAACAGAATAAATGGAATGGTTTCATCCAGTGATTTGGAAAATATGCTTCTTCATCTTAAAATTCCATTCTTTTGTTGTTGTTGTTTGTTTTTTGGCAGGCATATCCTGCTGCTATTCCTTCCAAGACCTTTTTCATAAGCACTTTTACCAAGCTGGTTCAGGACTGGAGAACGGAATCCAGCCATAGATTTCCACTGGCTTGATAATATCATAATCAGAGCACAACCAATGCCTTTCTCTGTTGCGGATGTCAGTAGGGAATACTTTAAAGTTCTGGTGCCAGGAACCCTGACCCACACTTCTCCCAGGACAGAAAGGCAATGATCAGGTGAAATATGAGCATCCTAAGAGACACCTTTGCCCAATCTGCAGCTTTTCCCTCAGATGGGGTTCCTTCCTTTACTCTGAGAAGTGCTTCTTTTCTTCCTTCTGTGTAGCTAACCCATGTTACTGCCTGACTGCCTTAAAACCTTAATATCTCATATCAAGGAAAATATGGATCAAAGAATGCTTTTAAAAAATTATAACATTATTTTGCAGCTTGCTTATGAAAAGGTTGATTTTTTAAAAAATCGTATCTAGAAACATTTGTAGACATTTCATTGCAATTTACTATTACTCTGAAGATTCCATTTTATAGGCATAATTAAAAGAGTTTCATTTTAAACAATATCCAACCTTAAGAGAGATGTGCTATTTTCTCCAATTTTTTCCCTCACTTTCTATACAATTGCACCATACAACTGTGCTGGCAATTTCTACAGCCACTGAATATTAGTGATGTATTAGAAAATTCTAAGCTCAATTCATCTTTTAATTTTCCTCTACTGCTATTGAAATGGTATATTTTAATATAGCCTAAGGATTTCATGGTGCTTCCTAAAGAAGTTTGTGGATGAAGTGAATAATTAAAATGAAGTCATTATTAGTAATGCACTTCTAATATCATGATCTTCACGTAGGATATATAGGTACATGATCTTATTAAAAACTGATCTGCAGCATTTGTACCTGTTACACACATGTTTTAGCAAAAATGCAGGCTAGACTAAAATTGTTACAGAATCTGCAGTTTTATGATTCATTAACTGTACTCATTGACCTCCTTTTACTATTGTATGTCAGAGGAACAAAACAGAATTCATTAATGAAAATATAGTTAGGAAAACTAGCACAAACACAATATATAAACTGAACTTCACCAAGATCCTTAATTAGTAAATACATGTAAGTAGTGCTTTTTATATTTATCGGTATTTTCACTGGACATTCCCTCCCATCCTTATTTTCAATTGATTTAGGACTGCATTGTTACAGAAAAAGAAACAATAATTAAAATAATGATGAGGTTTTATTAGAATATCAAGTTTCAAAATGTATTCAAAAACTGGATTACAAAGCTGCTATGGTTTGCAATGTGTCCCAAATTACTTCATCAATTGGCAAACAAGTTGTGGAAAAGTTCTGAACCAATTTCTTCTTTCTCTTCCTTCTCTTCTTTCTTACATAAGAAATAAAAACACAACCAATTTACCAATGCATTTGTGGGTGTATGTTTGTTTTAAATATTCTCTCCTTAAGCATCTGATTACTTTTCTGAATATTCAACAGCGTTATCTTAAAAGGTACACCGTAATTAGAAAAAGAAAGGAAGGTGGTTTGTGATCAATGATTTCTATCTGAGAGACTTTCTCCAGTGCTGATTTGAAGGCCTATCCAGGACTATTTGAGTAAGCCGAAGCCAATAGTGGCATGAAATTTCCTCTCCCTGGGACTGATCCTGCCTTCCTTCTGTTGTGTTTCCTCCTAGTCACTGCCAACCCCCTCCAATGTAATGGATGGCAAAGCCTAATAGATTTTATACACCTTGAGGCTGCCTTAGGACGATGTCCAAATAAGGGAGGAAACACCCCTTCAACACTGTTACAGCCAAGAACAAGGCTGTCTCACTCACGGGTTGATGAAAGAAATGTGGGGGGACAGCAGATAAAAGATTTCCAGAGCGTGCCTGTGCCATGGTTAGGCAGAGGCAATGTTCAGTATTAACAGGCAGATGAGACGGAGAGGAGAGATGGGTGGAACATTTGGCAAATTTATATTCATCTTACACACTCAGCAAATTAACTGCATGAATGTGGTAGAAGTCAGTCTATATCTGAGTATGAGTGCTGAGTCTATGATGCCCTTAAAGTTCTTATCTTAAAACAAACCAGCCCTGATTATATGCGAAATATAGTCACTCATTTATTCCTGCATTATGATGCATCTCTGTCAGTCCCTCTGTGTTTGCAGAGAGTGGCTTGTGTATTATTTATGTATTTATATATCTCATTGGTATCCCATCCCAACTGAAAACAGCTCTTGGTGGTTGAAGTTTTCAATTGTTCTTTGCAATACAATGAAAACCTCATACATCTCTCCCTCCTTACTGCATAGGGGTGTGTGCATGTGTACGTGTGCAAATGACAAAATGGGTGTGACGACATCATCACACAAGTGATGCAATTTGCAACTTGCATCAGATGTCAAGATGTGAGTACATAATGGTGGCATTTGGTGATGATGTTTCATATTGTCATTTTGACATTATTGCAGTTTGCTGTGGATGTGGCTGTTTCCAGTTTTCTCAGTCTTCTCTTCATATGGACCCCTTAGGAAGTCACAATATCTCAGACGAAGAGGAGAAATGAACATCTTAAACCAACCTTTGTTTGTTAGATTTCTATCCTTCCTGCCCTTCAGGAACTCAAGGCAGCCGTCAGCCCTTGGAGGCAGGCCAGGTCAGGAAACAGACTCCACAAGTAATACTGGAACTCTAGTTTATTGATATAGGCTATAGTAACAGAATCTTGAAAGCCTGACAGCATTTTCCTTCCCTCTCTCTTATATACAAGAGAATTGAGGCACAGCTACTTTGAGTTTCTTTCTAACGTTTTCTTCCTGTCCTGGGTTTAAGTCATGTTTTGCTAACTGCCATTGCATAGTTTTTCCAAGGTTATCTTTGTGGTTCTCTACAGCAGCATACGCAGTACTCCTTCTTCCCATTTTTCCTACTGCAACAACCCTGTGGGGTTGGTTGAGTTGAGGGAGAATGATTGGGCCAAATTCACCAGAGAATTTCCATGGTTGACAGTGGATTTGAACTTGGGTCGCCCTAGTGCTAATGTAACTCCTTAACTACTACTACACACTACTTCCAGAATTCCCAACCAGTATCGCCATC